TCTCTCTCTCTCTCTCTCTCTCTCTCTCTCTCTCTCTCTCTCTCTCTCTCTCTGTGTGTGTGTGTGTGTGTTACATGCTGAGCCTGCACACGGGCCCCATTTGCAGGGCCCGACGGTTGATGAGGGGCTCCCAGGCTGCACGCCTTATAGCGCGCACCCTGGAGGCCCACGGTGCCCCTCTTGGCCGCAGGTATAGGGTGAGGCAGCACTCACTTATTTATTTACTTATTTATTTATTTATTCTGTGATGTGCTGCCCTATTTTTGTCGGCTCAGGCACCGTTGCGGACTTGCAGCCCCAAGGCAGCACCTTGGGCCAGGCACACCGGAACGAAGCCCTTCCGGAGCCAGGCCCGTTTTGGCGCCTGACTGCTGGCCTACTTTCGTCGGTACAGACGACGTTTTGGACCTGCAGGCCCCAAGGCAATACCTTGGGCCATGTACACCGGGACCAGGCCTTTCCGAGGCCAGGCGCGTTTTCGCACCTTGCTGCATCAGCAATGCAGCATCACGGTCTGGACACCCGGCAGGGGCCCAGACCGGCTGGGCCGTTCTAGGCCACACAGCAGCCTACCCAGTAGGGCCCAGCGCAGTGTATAGCTGGGCCTCATGCTGGGTACTGGACAGTTCGAAAGCTCACTTCACACGCTCCTGGTTGGAGGCTGCGCTACTTTGCGCTGTGGTGCTGAGCTAGGAAGGAGAGGCGCATGAGGTAGAGAGAAGGAGCGATGACTTCCCTGTAGTGGCGAGCTTACCTGGCGCCATAGCTACGGCTCTGCGCGGTACCTGAATAGGACAAACCACAGTTAGTACGGCAGTTACCGGTAGGTACGACAGCGAGGAGGAAAGCATCTTCTTCTTCCTCCTCATCCTCCATCTCTTCTCTCTCTCTTCCTCCTTCCTCCTTCCTCCTTCCTCCTTCCTCCTTCTCCTTCATCTTCTTCTTCAGATACAAGAGTGAGAGAGGTTACTAGCAGAGGAGGTAGGCAGAGGTCACAGTGGGCACTGTGCCCAGGATCTGATTCAACAGTTCTGAGGCGGACATTGATTGGACATCGGCAAGGGACTATTTTCGGACTTTGCTATTGCGATCTGGGTTTCCTCCCTCGCCTCCAGCTTCGTCTCTCCTCTTCTGCATCTCTCATCTGTGGTACCTCCCCATGTGCGAGTACAAGGAGGGACCTTTCTTCTTTGTGTGCAGTCCCTCCTCCTCCTCTCACATGTGTGATGGGATGTCATGTCAGTCCTGGTCAGACCAGGACTTATCTTAAAGTTTTCCGCTACGCTACTATGTGCCATTTTGTATGTATCAGGGTGTACATTGCTTGTTGAGATTCAACTGACTTTGCATTGTCCATTCAGTCCTTTTCATCACATTGCGGATCCTTGGCTCTACATACATTGCCCAACTGGGCATCTCTCTCTCTCTCTCTCTCTCTCTCTCTCTCTCTCTCTCTCTCTCTCTCTCTCTCTCTCTCTCTCTCTCNCTCTCTCTCTCTCTCTCTCTCTCTCTCTCTCTCTCTCTCTCTCTCTCTCTCTCTTTGTGTTATGAAAATGAATGTGAATCAAAATGGAACCTATCTTCATTAGAATCAATCATTCAATCATCTCTCTCTCTCTCTCTCTCTCCAAGATACAAGCTCTGCAAAACGATTGTTTTTAATGGCAAGCCTTCTGTTCTTACACATTGTGTGTGGCTGATGTGAGGGAGAAATGTGTGTAGACAGATTGAATTTGAAGCTGGATCCTAGTGAGTGGGGCTGCGATCCCGCTGTCCCTACATGTTCGTGCTGTGCCTCTAATGCCAGCAGTGTGTCTGGAGCGCCTTTAATGGCAAGCCTTCCGAGGGAGCGCACTTTTTCCGCGAGGCAGACCTATCCCTGTTCAGTGGGAAGGTTGTGGGCTTATGATGGGGTGTGAGCCTAGAGTCTGTAGAGTTTTCTGTCTGGTGTGCGTTTGCAATTAATCTCTTTTGATTTTCGTCACGGTTAGCAGAGAGGACACAGTGGTCGCGCCTGCCTGCAGCCGGTGTTAATGTGAAGTACTATCTCCCGTTAAGCTTGAGGGGCCTGTCTGGAGTGTTAAGGTTTCTGCTGCCTGTCTGGTGTGGTTATGTGGTACTCTGTTTTAATTTTTGTCATGGGTACCTGACTCCCGAGAGGAGCCAGAGGGCAGCGGTCGGTGCGCAGCTGGAACCGGGTTTAATCGTTATGTGGATTATCATTTACAGAAGTCTGAGGGTGGTCGTCCGTTTGGGGTTTTCTGCTGGCTGTCGAGCTTCAGCATTTTGACGAGTCCGTGAAACTTTTTTTGGGCAGAACAGTCTGTCGCAGTTACCCTCTTAATTAATTTGTCCTGTTCTCGCTCCCTCCCCTCAGGCTCTCTGCATATGCATGGCTTGCCGGATAGGTCGTCTTTGTCCTCTTAATTAAGTTGTGCTGTTCTCGCTCCCTCAGGCTCTCTGCCTATGTATGGCGTACCGGATAGGTCGTGTTTGTGAGATCGTGGCAATATATAACACGTCGACTTCTTTAGCTCTCTTGGCAATCATTCACTTTTCAGGTCCGGAGTAGCGGTGGGCGCCAGGGTCATCGCTACGTGGATGTGTCTTGCCTCTAGCGACAGCGGTGTGACTGCCAGTGTCTGGAGTGCGGTTTCTGTCTGTGGCAGAGTCGGGCAGACCTTTCTTTGTTTTCTGGGGGCTTTGCTGGCTTATAATGGGGCGTGAACCGACAGTCTGTGCAGAGCTTCCATCTGTCGTGGGCAGGTGACCGGTCACTTTGACTCTTGTCACTGGTACCCTTGAATGCATTTGTCGGGGCCCCAACTGCAACTGGGGTTAATGTGGTTATCGCTTCGGTACAATCTGTTAGGGGCCACTCTGCGGAACGCCGAGGGTTCAGCCTCCAATAAGTTGGTTGAAATGCCGACGAAACAGTCCGTCACAGCGCCCGTGTCTTGACAGCGCCCGTGTCTTGTCCTTTCCTCCCGTTCTGCCTAGTAAATTATAGGGAAAAGTTCTAAAACCACCCCGCGGCGAAACCTGTGTATTCATTTCCCCCCACACGGGGAAAAAAGTGCCACAAGCCCCAAAATGACTTTCCGCGTCATTTTTGCACCTACAAAACACTTTCCCGCCATTTTTGCACAGCGGGCGTTACCGGCCCAGCCAGGGTGCAAAAATGACGCGGAAAGTCATTTTGGGTCCTGTGGCACTTTTTTCCCAGTGTGGGGGGAAATGAATACAAAGGTTTCGCCGCGGGGTGGTTTTAGAAATTTTCCCTAAATTATACGGTTCACTTCAGAATCTATCAGTAGGCAGTTCTCTGTGTCTATACGTACCCTATAATGGGCCTATATTATAGTATGGTATATAGATGAATAGCATTGAATTGAGAAGTGGATATTGGCTGTAGTGCCTAGCGCAGTACTATCTTAACAGTGCAAAAGTTTATCCAATCTGGCAGGATTACTTTTATTATTTAGATGCTGATGACTACTTGCTTTGATGTTGTTTGCCGGCAGCTTTCATGCTCAGGTGCCTCAGGCTTCTGGAATAATTGTGGCAGTGACACTGATGAGTTGGCTATTCCCTCACTTAGTCTAAGGAAAATTGAAGGATCTTGTTTCTCCTGTTGGATTCGTCGTTTCAGGTTCTCGAAGAAATCCGAGGGCGATCTTCCACGCCTGACTCTGATGACGAATGCGATACGGATGGTGGTGATGGCCCTGGCTGCTCCGGCGACGGGAAATGGAAACGTCGACACACCCAGAAACACGTCTATGGTCTGAATGAGCATGTGAGGAAACTGAAGGAGTTGCTCATGAATCCGGATGCAAGCAGTTTTGTTGGGATCATTGGTGGCGTTGGAGGATCAGGAGGAGGAGGAGCCGGGGGTGGGAATACCCCGCCCGCCGGGGTGCCTCGGCCGCCAACCGATCTTGGACCCGATGGAGGTCGCGCTCTGGGTGTTGTTGGAATGGGAGGAATCGGCAAGACTACGCTGGCAAAGCTCATCAACAACGACAATGAGATTCGGAGGCATTTTCGGGACGGTGTGTTCTGGGTGGTGGTAGGGCTGGAGATGCATTCCTCCCGTCCGAAGTCTGTCCTCAGAAGTCTTTACCAGAAAGTCACATCTGGACGTGATCTGCGCAGTGGCGACGAGTTCGAAGATAGCGTGGCCGCATTCCGGAGAGCGGTTCGAGGCAAGCGCATGCTCTTTGTTCTCGACGACGTGTGGAAAAAGGAGAGTGTTGAATGGATTCACGACGTGATCGAAACGGACTCCAGGGTTCTGATCACAACTAGAAATGCACAGGTTCTGTCGAGGCCAGGTGTCGGTGTTTACAACCTGAACTTGCTCAAGGACGAAGACGCTCTCCAGCTGTTGTGCCGTCATAGTTTCGGCGATCGAGAGGTGCCCAAGCACCTGTTACCTGTGGTGTTGGATGTCTGCCAGGAATGCCAAGGACTTCCCCTAGCCTTGAAGGTGATAGGCTCCTTTTTGCAGGGAATGGGGAGGGCGGACTGGGAACATATGCTGCGGAAACTAAGGACGGCAACCCCATTGGACGGAACCTTTCAAGATGCCTTGATGGCCAAGCTCCGTGTGAGCTTCAATGATCTTTCCGACGTGTTGCAAGACATGTTCCTCGACCTCGCTGCGTATCCGGAAGACACAGACATTCTTGTCCACCCTTTGTTGCTGATGTGGGCCACGGATCCCAGAGTCGGGGATCTATCGGAGGCGAGGTATCTGTTACGAGAGCTGACCCTTCGTTCGTTGGTCTCGTGGGACGTCATGGCAGGGGACAGCGTGGAAGTCCCGGATCTGGACTTTGCCCTGGAGATAGCGACGAAGGTGGTGAATGGCAAGCTGTTTGGAGCTTGCAGGGTTCACGATGTGCTGCGCGATATGGCGTTGCAGATCATCCGAGAGGACGGGTCGGCGCTACGTCGGGACAGGCTGTACTTGTCATCCATGAGCCCTGAGGAGGTCGACGAAGCCGCACCCTCCGGTGGAGGCGGCGGCGGCGGCGCTAGTTTCAACCGGATGGTGAGCTTTACCAAGACCGCAACACCTGTCAAGCGCATCCTTCCTAAGGCGGTCTCGTTCCTTGGGGCAGAAGCTACCGGTTTGACAGCCGAGACTGTCGCTCAGTGGCAGATGCCCAACGCGGAGGTTATCCTTATGAAAGACGAAAATGGGTTTAAAGTGTGCGAGAAGGTGTTGAATGGGCTTTGCCACCCTGTGGGTCTATCTCTGCTCAGGGTACTGGACATGTCCAATTCCAGTATAAAAGATCTACCAGACTCCATCTCCTGCCTGCAACACCTTCGCTTCCTCGGTCTCAGGGGCTGCCAACTGCATTCTCTGCCCGATGCGATTGGCAGCCTGCAGAGGCTGCAAACAATCGACTTGCAGGATTGCCTGAGTCTGACCCAGGTTCCACAGTCACTGGGGAACCTGAGATGCCTTCGATGGTTTCGCTACAGTGGAAAGGAGTTGCCGAGGGTACCCGTGAAGCTCGTCAGAACCGCCTCAAATCTCGCTAATCTACTTCGGACTCCGCAGGAAACACAGTTCGTGGATATCCTGCAAGGACTCCCCAACCTGAACACACTCTTGATCGAAGTCACGGAGACTGCAGCCTCCAAGGCCCCTCGCCAACCAGGGGTGCGGGCTCAGCCACCTGCCGGCTCCTCTTCGGGTCCTGGTAACCCCCATAACCTTCGGACATTGGTCCTTCTGAATGCCTCCTTGGGTACGCTACCCCAAACCACCTTTTGCCACAGCCAGAATCTACAAGTCTTAGCCTTAGATTTCAGGACGTCAACGAGTATCCCCGGGGAACTGTCACAGCTGCATGCTCTGCGCGTGCTATACATTTCTGCCCCCCGTCTCACTTCCCTAGGTGGGGTGGATTTCTCTCACCTTACGTCCCTGGAGAACCTAGAATTCCACAACTGTATGGCTCTCGTGGACGGGATCGAATCCATCTCTTACTGTTCGTCTCTTCAAGTCTTGCGATTCCGGAACTGCTCGAAGCTGGCAGGTCTGAACGCATTCAGGTTCGATCGGCTGACCTCCTTGGTCAAACTCTGCCTCAGTGAAATGGGCCAGGAGCTGAGCACCCTTCCCCGACTCTTGCCCAACTGTCCAGCTCTTGCTGACCTCACCATTCAAGATGACCTAGCAGAGTTTCCTGCAGTCATTTGTGGCCCGTTCTTTCCTAGCTTGACTCACTTCAAGCTCGCGACTGTACCCATGGACGCTCTGCCCGACGCCCTCCTGCGCATTTCCTCCCTCCAAAGTCTCACCTTAGAGGGCTGCATCAACATCAGCGATCTGCAACCCCTCGATGGGCGAAGGCTGGTCAGCCTAAAGACCCTTGTCCTGACCGGTTGCCCCAACCTCAACAGTCTGCCAACCTCCCTTCAGGAGTGCAAAACCCTGTCTTCCATTAAGATTTCCAACTGCGCCAATCTTTCCATCATTCCAAGCGACCTTGGAGATCTCGTGGAACGGAGAGACTCCCTTGACAACGCTGCCTTGGTCCCAGGGACGGTCCCGCCGGCACAGGCTCGGTAGAAGGCTCTGAAGGCCGTTCACCTTGGCAGAATTGCCAATGTGTGCAACAGTATCGCCGCTGACGTCGCGTCGCCGCTGACCACTCGACATCGCTCCCTGCACATACAGTCGGCAGCTGGCAGCTTGCACGGCAGTGTGTCACAGAGCGTTTGGCAGTGTGCCTGCCAAACGTCGTGTCACACATTTGGCAGTTGGCAGTGCGTCACAGAGCGTCACACAGCTGTTGGCATTGTGTCACAGACTCTGAGCTGTTTGCAGTGTCTCACGCAGCTTTTGGCAGTGAGTGGAAGGAAGGTCTTAATGCATTTGGCAGTTGGCAGTGCGTCACACAGCTTTAAGTTATTGCAGAGTGTCGCACAGCTGTTGGCAGTTTGTCACACAGCTTTTGGCAGTGTGTCACAAAGTTGTGGGCAGTGTGTCGCACAGCTTTTGGCTGGCTGTGCTTCACACAGCTTTGGGCTGACAGTGTCTGTTCTTCACACCGCTTTTGGCAGTGTGTCCCACAGCTGTTGGCAGTTCGTGTAACGTCTTTGCAAGCTGGCTTGCTGAGGGCGTCGAATAGATTTGGCCGGTGGCAGCGTGTGCGACACGGTCGTGCCGAGCTAGTAGCTTGATGAGAACTGCCATACATTTGGCATCCGGCAGTCTGTGCGACAGTGTGTTGCACAGGTGTTAGCAGTGTATGAACACCGAGGCAAGCTAGCTTGATGAGTGCTTCCGTTAGATTCGGCAGGTGGCAGTCAGTATGTTGCACAGTATGTTGCACAGCTTTTGGCGGTGTGTGCGCCAGTATGTTGCACAGCTTTTGGCGGTGTGTGCGCCGTCGTCTCGACTCTCGAGCTCACTAGATGCGTCTGGTGCCAGGGAGTTTTGCACAGTTCGTTGGTCGTTGGAACGACTAGAGAAGCAAGGGGGAACTTCTGCTTCTGTCGCAAAAGACAAGTCAAACACGGTGCCGCACATAATGCCTCGCCCAGAGCCCAAGGTAGTGCCGCACGAAGCGTTGGGAAGTGTTCTTGGGGACCAGTCTCCTGAAACTTCATCAGCCTGTGGAGAGTAGTATCACACGCTCTGGCCCTTCTAAGCAGGGATTCTTACGGCATATTATTCGTACGAGAATTTTAGGTTGTGCAATTGGATTGGATGCATCTCGCCGACATGACGTCCACATTCACAATCGAAATCGGCACCCGCTGACAACAGAATAGAGAGCAGCTGGCCGGACGACCGCCTTGGAGCATGCTGATAAAACAAACAATTTTCAAAATATCTAATGTTTAGCATTCAACTATTCGATTTTAGCATATTAATAAATAAAAATTCCTAAACCGTACCCCGCGGATTGAAGGGGTTAGGGGGACGTCCTAGTGATCCCTCGGTACGTTTTTGGAAAAAGAGTCGTCCTGAGACAAACGTTGTTATAAAAAACTTTTCAGCTCCTCCTTCGTTTCTCCTTTTTTTTCTTTCCTTTCAATTTTAAATTTGTATTTGTAATATAATACTAATATTATTAATTTATTAAATTATTAGTATTTATTACAGAGTTACTAACAATCCACGCTACTAGAATCAGAATTACTGACAATCCTAGAGTTACTGAGCTGCCCGATTACTGACAATCCCAGCTAGTTACTGACGTCCTAGAGTTACTGAGCTGCCCGATTACTGACAATCCCAGCTAGTTACTGACAATCCCAGCTAGTAATCGGGCAGCTCAGTAAATGAACCACCGATGTGGAGCTTAGCAAGAAATTTAAAAGCGAAGTGCCAAATGGTGGTGGTTCATTTAATTAGACAACGGTTAAAGACCGTTAAAGTTTAAATCGTATTTTATTTGTACGTAAGGTGCCCATCAGATGGGCGATAGACGCTCGAGCCGGCCTCCAGCTCCAGCTCGGCGTTAATACTTCTCAATAAGGTGAGTAGGGGTTTCGGTTCCTTCTCTTCTGTGAACCATTGAAATTATACATCTCACACAGGGATAATACCTGGTGATGCATAGAGCGATTGATAAAAGATGTACATCTAGCTAAGGTGGAGGAAGGGGTTACTTTGGGCGAGATGGGAGAATGAGGCGTGTGTGTGTGTGTGTGTGTGTGTGTGTGTGTGTGTGTGTGTGTGTGTGTGTGTGTGTGTGTGTG